GGGGGGGGGAGGCTCCATGTCCAGCTGCCATGTGTGCTGCCGTGCACAAACATGCAGGTAGCAACCGAGCCACTGGGCACCTGCTCTGGGTTCCCAGCTCCTGTGCAGTCTGAGGCCCTGCAGCTCAAAACTGCTGTGGGGTGGAAAGGAAAAGGCACTGGAGAGGATATGTGGAAGAAATGTACACAAGTTTAATGATATCCCAAAGTGAGCTCAACTAGGCCAGAAGCCTCTGCCTCGGTGGGGCCAGGTACATGGCCAGGCTCCTAGCACCCTCACAGGAACCCCCCTCAGTGACTTGCCAGGCCCAGAGGGTAGAGCTCCTGGATGGTGAACTCAAGGTTTGTAGGGGTGGGAGTAGAGCCCTGGAGATGGTTCCTCAAGGAAAGCTTTGATGCAGTACCTTAAGAAAGCCATGGGTCTTCCAATCAGAGTCTGGGCTTTATGTAGCTCTATCCCCTCCAAGCCTTCTTCTCCAAGGAGCAACAATCCATAACTCAACTCATCATAGTAATGAACACATCAGTAAGTCTTAGCTGTTATTATTTCTAAGATCATATTTTCTAAATTAAAAAAAATTGGAAAAATGGATTCTTCATTTTCATGTGTCACCGATTTTCACACAAAACGACCTGGACCTAACTATGGAACCTAACTGCCAATAAGTGAGTGGGTATACAATGTAACTGAGAAGATGTGGCAAGCTCCAAGTTCTACCTCTTCTTTTTTTGATTAGATGATAGGAAAATATGTTTTCTGAGATACTTTACTGCTTGTTTTGGCAACTGAAAGTAACTGAATCACTCAATGGGACTGAGATTTAACTAAGTAGCACAGGAAAAACCAGACAATTATTGTTGAAGACTTCCCTTTTTTGGCTCCATACACTGAAAGGAAGAGGGAGACCATGAGAGCTGAGTGCTCTGGATAAGACCACCCTTCTTCTGTCCTCAGAAGGGCCCCAGAACTCAGTGCAATCCGGGAAAAACCCTTAGAATACTTGTAGCCTCTGTCTTAAGACTACCTGGACTAATTTTCATTTGTTTTCAATCTATATATACATATTAGTCACCAAAAGAAGCCCCTTGCTCTAATTCTTCATCCTTTAGCCTCTAATTCTAATTTCTATAGATAATGGAACAGCAGTTAAAGCCAGCTTTTGGAGGGCCGGAAGAGGAGGGTAAGCTGGGAAGCGGCAGCAGCCAGCTTTTGGAGGGTCAGCACAGGTAGGGCAGGATAGGAAGCGGGTTGTCCTGTGGTGGCTTGTGTGTTGCTGTAAGGCTGGAGGCTAAGCCACCAGTGTTTCAAATGCCAACAAGGTTACCCATAGAGGGCAGGTTTCAGTGGCGCTTCCACACTAAGACTCAGAAGAAGAATGACACCATCCACTTCTCAAAGAATTGGCCAGTGAAAACCTTATGAATAGCAGTGAAACACTGTCCAATATAGTGCCAGAAGTTGCGCCCTTCAGGTCAGAAGGCACTCAAAATATGACTAGGAAAGAGCTGCCTTCTC